TCCCTTCTTGTTCCTCCCCCTCCCCCTCCCCTTCTCCCCCTCCTTCTAGGGTTTTCCCATGCCCAGGTCCTGTTGATGATTCTGAGAATCCACTCTTGCTCACACCGCACTCCCCTGCCCCACTGCCCTCAGAGAGCCGACCTGGCACAGCTGCTACTTGCGGCCCCTTCCTCTCCACGTTGACTCAGCACTGTTCCCCCAGATGTCTTCATAGGGTACAGGGGTCCGCAGAGGAGGACTCCATCGCACGCCTGCATGCACTCCGTAACACAGCACCAAAACACACAGGGAAAACTGGTAGAAATGAAACGGACACCTCAGCAATGCTACTGGGGAGCTTGGGTGTCTCCCTGGAGTGGTGGACAGCGCAGCTAGCCAGGTGACCAAGGAAGGAGAGTGCACGGACACCTCTGCAAACCAGCTCTATCTAGCAGACAGCTGCCGCACGGCCTGACCAAATAGTGTGCGGAATGTTCACTTAGCGTAGTGTACCAATTGCTAAGTGTGTGTGGGGGGTACATTTAGAAGAACAGAAATAAGCAAAGACTAGCACCTTTGCCAGCCAGAGTGCAGTGAACGTGGAAATCAGCTACAGAGCAAAACAGGAAGCTAAAGATCTCTGGAAATCAAACAGCACGTGGCAAAATAACCACTGGGTCGAAGGAGAAATCAGAAAACACATCGAGATGAGTGGGACTCTGCTGAAGGGGAGTGCACGGGAGAACTGGGCTGTGACGGCCACACTGGGACAGAAGAAAAGTCTCAGCTCGCCTCACTCCGCCTCAGGCCGAAGGAAGGCAATAAGGCTTACAGCAGAAACTGCTAAAAAATAAAAATTCAATATAAAACAATCAAGGCTTTAACATTTGAAACTTTATAAAGCCTTATGATTACAATAAATTGAATTAAAATGTTTGCAGAAGATATTAGGAGTATTTTTCACAAAATAGGGAACATATTTTCTTAGTATATTAAGCACCATTATATTTCCAATGTAGTCCACATTTTTTATTATCATAAAAAACAAAACTTTGAGGAAACAGCCAGTACAAGCTGCATTTTTCCCAACTCTATTTCCTCGGAAACTGTCACCCACTTCATTTCAACCCCTAGCGGTTGAGAAATCTTGTCCAACGGAAGAACGACATGTGACAGACCTGACACACCAGACCTTGTTCTGTCCAGCAACGTGATTTAGGGCAAGAGTCCCAATGCTGAGACCTGCTTCGCGTAGCTGTAAGAGGTCTCTAATATGGAGCGTGTGAGATAATGCACATACAAGAAACTGCTTTGTCGCCTGGGCTGTAGGAGAGAAACCGACCAGCATCCAGTCTGTGCTCACGAGGTGGCTTGACAGTTAAGCAGCCGTCTCACTGCCCTGCTGCGTGGCGTGCATACATGAGTGTCCGTGACTGCAGATAGAGGCGAAGGTGCTTGCTGTTGCTCCACCACCGTGCTGCACGGCTGCACGCTAGTCGCGCTCTCTGCAGTTTGCTTGTAACTGTTTCATAGCACGGACAGATTTCAGTGTTTTTAATAATTGCTAAAGTGTTCACGTTGGTTAAAATGTAACTCCTGGCCTAAGTTGATTGTTTTAGCAACTGGTTGTCCTGGCCAAGCACGTAGGCCCTTCCACAAGAAGCCGTTTATAATCTGTCAGTGCCTTTGGTGGCGTTGTGTTCCTGCCTCAGTTCTGGGTCACTCGAGCATGCCTCTTCCTTGGCCTCCCAGCTAGCAGCGCTACAGCTTTCCAGCACACCCAGGAGCTGAGGAGCAGGCTGACCGATTAGGTCTCGTGTCGGCTCGCAGTGCTCTGGGGTTGGCGATAGGAAGTCGCAAGGTGCTCCTCCAAATCTTCGCGGGACTAGAGGTGCTGCTCACCTGGGAAGCTTGCTAGGCAGGCAGTGAGGCCTGAGGCGCAGCAGAAAATTCCCACTTCCACTCAGTCCGCTTCCAGACTCTCCCTGGGCAGCTGGCCCTGGCCACTGTGGGAGCCGCAAGGCCTCAGCCTCTCAGACCGAGGAAAGCTGGCCTGGCGTAAGCTAGCCCTGTCTACCTGTGCCCTCTTGTTTTATTTCCTCAACTGATCACTGAAATAAATCAGCTCAAAATTCAGCGGCATCAGAATTCAGAGACAGTGATTCTGTTCTTATATTCTACGTAGCATAGTGGTCTACTATGGGAACAGAGTATGTTGTGACCTGTTTCCTGCAGTTCTGTGTACCTTGCCTGCCCACCCCTCAGGTCATCTTCTCAGGCACAGCGTTGGGTGATAGGTGCGAGACATCCCCAGTACCCTTTCTGCAGTCTGTGGCTGCGTCCTTAGCCCCGCCAGTACCCATGGCAGAGAGTGCCGAGGGAGGCCTGCTGCATCCCAGCCAGCCTTTTGCCTGCAGCAGGAGGAACTGTGTGTGATTCTGCACCTAGGATTGATCGACGCTTCCCAGGGCAGCTGGTCCCGAACCTGGGAGGAGGGCACAGATTCAGCTGCACCCGTGGAGTCCATAGGCTGCCTTGATAGGAAATGTGATCCCAGGGGCATCATTTTAGGATGCATCAAATTAAATTCCTAGTAGAAAATAGATGTAGTGGGCTGGCGAGGTAGCTCAGCAGACTAGGTACCTGCTTAGGCAAGCACAGGGGTAGGGTTTGATCCCCAGCACCACATGCTGCATCAGCCCCGCCCCCGGGTGCACTAGCTGGCCACCGAGTCCAGGTGTGGTGGAACACACCAGTGATCCCAGAGCTGAGGAGGCTGGAAACAGGAGGAGCACTGTGAGTGTGAGCTGTGTGGTGAGGCCCTGTACCAAATAAAAATTTTTTTAAAAGAAGACAGAAAGTGGATGTGGCTTTGACACACAATGCATGCCTTCTGACCCCTTACAGAACACAGAAGCAGTCGTAGGAAAGACAAGAGGAAAACTGGCAGGAGGAGATGGGGAGGCACCAGTGGGCTGGCGGCTGACCTGGCAGCCCTGGAGAACGGGCTGGCTGGCAAGGTGGTCTCCGCCTTCGGGAACAGGACCGACAGCGCTGCGGACAGGAGGACCCACAGACGGACCAAGCGCTTTCTGTCGTACCCACGGTTTGTAGAAGTCATGGTGGTGGCGGACAAGAAAATGGTCTTGTACCATGGAGCAAACCTTCAGCACTATGTTTTGACCTTAATGGCCATTGTAAGTATGTTCGAAAGGTCACTTACCCTCTCGGTGTCCCCTGGGGAAGGGTCTCCCATGGTGCCTCGGCAGAGCCTTTGGGCGCCCCTTGAACCATTCCAGCTGATGACAGAAGGGAATTTAGGATTATTCGCTGACTGCCTTTTCATAATGGCAATGGTGGTTATCAATATGCCCTGAATGTTTTATGCGAAATTTAGTTGGACTTCTCAAGGCCTATTTCTCATCCTGCTAGGCTGGATGCTTATCTCATTTATAGACAAGCAGACTGGCTTCCAGGGGCACTGGGCCGTTTGCCGGGGCCCTGTGGAGCCAGCAAGGTGCCTCGGCACTGCGCGTACCTTCAGCCTGCCCACTCCCCGGATCCGTGCCCTGCGGCTTGTGAACTGCACAGCCAGGCGTGGGTCCTCAGCAGCACTGAGCCGTGAGCGTGGTGGTCAGGCCCAGGCCCTAGGAGCTCGAGAACCGCAGCTGCCACCCGCAGCGGCCTCCGTGGTATTATTCCTAGGTCTCAGAATCACTTTTTTGTACCTTTATACTAAATTGAAAACGTGATAAATTTACACAATTAAGAAAGTCCAACAGAACTTAAAGTGATTGATTAAAAGCAAATGTTTTCTATGCAGATTCCCCAATGTCTTCCAGAAGAAACTATTATTAAAACTTTTTGTTGCTTCTACTAGTACTGCCCAACAGAAATATAATGCAAACAACATCGTTAATTTTAAATCTTTTAGCAGGGATGTTTTTGAAAAAAAGAATTTCAAAATTTCTTAATGAGATGGCTGGGTGTGGTGGCACATACACTGTACTCCCAGTGCTCCTGAGGCTGAGATGGGAGGATGGCGAGTTCAAAGCCAACCTGGACTATGTAGCAAGACACTATTTAAAAACAAACAAACAAAATTAAGGACTGTACTTGTTTTTTGAAACTCAGTGCGTGCATTATGTTCGTGAGCATCTCAGTCTGGCCTGGCCACGTTGTCCTCCTCAGTGGTGGCATGCGGGGTGACAGACCGCTAGACGTTTCTCAGGCAGATATGCTTGTGTGCAGTTGTCAGTTGGCTGTCTTTCCCCATCTGTGCACTCAGCCAACACAGGTCAGCATGTTTGGAAAGGAACTTCACCTGTACTGAACTTGCACCTGTACCAAACAGGGACAGATACTTTTTTCTTGGGGCATAACAGCTGTTCACATTGCTTTAGGTGTTGTTAGTAGCCTAGGGGTGACTTAAAGGTCCTGGGAGGATGTGGGTGGGTCGCATGCAGATACATGCATCTTACCGAAGAGGCTCAGGCACGCTCAGAGCTCGGCGTCCTGTGCTTCCCAGAGCCAGTCCATCAAATACAGGGAAGCAGCTGTCTTTCTACAGACAGAAGGGAGGGTGCGCATAGCCTGTTTCACACTCTTCTGTTTAGAAAAGAATTAGAGGGCTGTGGATGTAGCTCAGTGGTAGGATGGTTGCCTAGCATGCACAGGACCCTGAGTTCAGTCCCAGTGACACACACACACACAACAACAGCAAAGCAGCAGATAGGAAGTGTTCCACAGCTGCCCCTGCAGATCCGCGCCCTCTAGCTGTGGCGTACTCCTCCTCCTTATGGACCACCTAGTTCTCCAGACCGGTGCTGCTGCCAGTCACTTCCCAGAAAAGGGTGAAAAGCCACCATGTTTGGGAGGCTGCCTTGCGGCTTCCCTGGCCCATGCTGCTCCTGTCTTCCCCTCGCTGCTGTGGGCCACTTCCCTGGACATGCCGAGCTGACCCCGACCTGCTCTCACCCTACTCGATTCTGTGTCCAGCCCCCATGACCCAGAAGGACAGAAGGGAAAACCCATCAGGCTGTGCGGCCCTGCTCAGCATCCACTCCGTAACTTCTCTCACAGGAACTTTGATTGCAAACATGAGCTTGAGTCCAACTGCGAGGCTCAGAGTCCGTGCCCTGCTGCCCACCACCGCCTGCAGCAGTGGCAGAGACGCTGCTTACCTGCTGTGAACCTTAGTGTCCTCGTTGTTGCGTGAGGTTGTGACAAAGCTGGCTTGAAGTTCCCCGGCTGTGTCTAAATGCACAAGCATGCGAGTTTTCAGAGCAGCCCCGTCCACGATGACGCGAATATCAGCCCTCATGACTAATTCTAACAACACAGAACAAACCCAAAGCAGCTTCACAGGGCTTGGGGATGCAAACAGGTGAAGGCAGAGAGCTGCAGGCACTAGCCAACAGAGTCAGCGTGCGATCCATGCGTTGGCAGCCCAGGACCCGGCGGGAGGGGAGAGGCCGGCGGGCGGCACGTCCGTGCTTGCTGCAAGGACGGCCAGGGCATGCCACAGTGTGATTTCAGGGGAAAGGGCCCTGGAATTTCAACTTGCTCAAGTCCGTGTGACCTAGAATGTCATCTATAGATTCTACAAAGAGACTTTATGTAAATGTTGGCTCAGTGAATGAAAATGCAGAACTACAAAATGCACGTGTCACATGAAACATAGAAAGAAATGGAGCCCAACCTAAGAAGTGATCGCTTTTGCTTACAGAGAGTTCACAATTAACTTTGAAAACTTTATCTTGGTTGCAGGTAGCTTCTATCTATAAAGACCCAAGTATTGGAAATCTAATTAATATTGTTATTGTGAACTTAGTTGTGGTTCATGATGAACAGGTAATCAAGTTTTCTGTTTCTTCTACCTGTTTACGAAATGGCGTCTCTGACTGTGGGAGGCAGAGGCCAGCGTAATTCTTTTCTGTGTTTAGGAAGGACCTCTCATATCTTTCAATGCGCAGACAACGTTAAAGAACTTCTGCCAGTGGCAGCATTCGCAAAACTACCCAGGCGGGACCCGGCATGATACTGCTGTGCTCATTACAAGGTGTGCGGAGTCCTGCTTCCTCCCGCTCTGCCTGGCCTGGGTGGTGGGTGTGGCCACAGACTCCAGCCCCGGGCGGCTCTCGAGACCCACACTCCCTTCCCTCAAGCTGAACTCCAGTGTCGCCAGATGTCCCCCGGGAGGGGAGGGGGTGTCAGCCTCGGCTGAGTCCTGATGAGGCTGGAAGAGGGGCAGGGCCACGGGCGGGCGAGCCCAGAGTCCGCGCTCCACGTCAGCGCAGCTGCAGCCCCAGAGCCAGGAGGTTGTTGCCCAGCACCTGATCCCAGTGGCTCTGGTGAAAGTGCAGTGAGCCAGAGTGGGAGGTGGTGTAAAATGGGAGTCTCACAGCTTTTAAAAGGTAGCTGGTATTTGGAAAATGTTTAAAACATTGTAACAGAGCAAGAAAGAAGGGCGGTGGCCTGCTCGTGCCTCCCTCCCTGGGCCCGAAACACTTCTTTGGTGCTCCTGCGGGTTCCTAGGGGCCCTTGCACATGCGCTCTGCCGCTGAGCCACGCCCCAGCCCACACTTGCTCTTAGAAGAGCTGCGGTGCTGAGCATGTAGTGTCTTCTCAAGAGTGATTTCAGAGTCTATAAAATCCCAGTTTCTTCCTGCGGCGCACTGGGGAAAGGCTTGGTCGGAGCAGTTTCCCGTCTCTCTGTGGCTACTCTGGCAACACAAGCAGATTGCTCACCGCAGCTCGTCCCCCTTAAATCAGTGCCTCCCACCCTGCTCTGCGTTGCAGCAGAGCCCTGGCCTTGTAGGCCTGCTGTGACCACACACACACGCACGCACGCACGCACGCACACACACGCGCAGGAGCTGAGGTGCTTGCACACGCTGCTCTGTGCTCTGTGGTGCTGCCAGGACTTAAGGCTGCTTTGTTTTCAGACAGGACATCTGCAGAGCTCACGACAAGTGCGACACCCTAGGTGAGTCCTCTGTGCACGTCTTCTGTGACCCCGTGGTGTACTGCGTGTTTCTGTCACAAGCCACAATTGCTTTTTAAAGTCAATCCTTGCTGCTCTTACCCCCACCTAATAGGTCTCGCTGAACTGGGAACCATCTGCGACCCCTACAGAAGCTGTTCCATCAGCGAAGACAACGGCTTGAGCACAGCTTTCACCATTGCCCACGAGCTGGGCCACGTGTAAGTTTCCGCTTCATGATTTCATTGAATTCTGCAACCGAAGGCCTTTGTTCTCTGCACGAGTGGCCACTGGCCTGACTTCAGAGGCTATAAGCCACCTCCCGAGCCACAGCAGCATTTGCAGGACTGGAAGCTTCGAACCTAACTGGGAGAAGCGACTTTGCTCAGAACGCCGGGCAGGTGTGGCACAACCACTTTCCCGCGTGTGTCTGCAGTGAAACTGCACGCGTTCGACATGCAGAGCTTACCCAGATTCCTCCTTCCTGCTGGAAGCCTTTCTGCTCCTTCCACTGAAGGAGAGGGTGCATTAATGCGTCTCTAGTCCTGGGCTGCAAGATTGTTACAGGTCCAGACCGTCCTGACTACAGCAATAACTCAGACCCTTAGCATCTGGGAAAGTAACAGCTGCTTTGAGAAAACATAGAGAGCAAAGATACAGAATAGGGATCATTTCCTAGTTATGGCCAGTGAGTGGCCGTTAGCAATGAGCTTTCTCTTTGGCTCGTAAGGGACAGAGCGCAGAGGGCATAAGGCGCGAGGCCATGTGAATGTGCTAGCAACTATTCTGATTGTCGGCCTGCATTATTCTCTTTCAAAAAGAAAATCACATTCTCATAGTTTTGGAATCGATGTCATTAGTACCCTAGAGCTTTATATCAATTTGTGTGTCAGAACTTTAGTTAGAGGCAGCATCTGTCAGCCAAGCTTTTTTACTCAAATATTTTTATGAGATACTTTATATGCAGCATGCTGTGCCCTGCACAGAGCAAAGGTGTGCCCTCCCTCTCCTCCTCCCCCTCCCCCTCCCCCTCCCTCCCTCTCCC